AGGGGCCTCCTCCGGGCCGCGCGCCGGGCCGGGCCGTCAGGCGCAGCCGCACTCCTCCACGATCATGTTGGGCACGTCCCGCTTGACGATGTTGTACTCGTCGTCGAAGTACAGCATGGACATGGTGCTCAGCTTGGTGGGGATGCAGCAGGAGTTCACCGTGCCGGGGTTCAGGCCGCGCATGCGGTACTGGTTCACCACGGCCGTGTGGAAGGAGGAGGCGGAGCCGGGGACCCCCGCCAGGTAGGCCGGGCAGCTGCCCTCACAGTAGTTCCCGAAGTAGCCGGTGGGGGCGATGATCCAGTCGTTCCAGCCGATGAGGCGGAAGTCGATGAAGAACTGCTGCCGGCAGCAGAGGTGGGTGCGGCCGTCGCACTCCAGGCCTCGCTTGCGGATGCGGTGTCGGCTGTCGCCCGGCCGCGCCTGCACCACCACGAAGGGCCGGTGCGACTCCTCGCCCGGGTCCACGAACACCGGCGCCACGGCCAGCTCCTGGCAGCTGTCGCACTGCACGTCCAGGCTGAGCCGCCGCTCGCCGCGCTCGAACAGGGCCTGGATGGCCTCCGTCAGCGGGAAGGTGTGCCAGCCGCTGCGCTTGAGGTCCACCTTCTTCTCCACCACGCTCCACCGGTCGCCGTGGCCCTGCTCCTGGAAGTACACCCTGACCCGCACCTTCCGCCGGCCGCCCTTCTCCAGAACGAAGGGCAGCAGCTTCAGGTACAGCCACAGGCTGGCCTGCGCCACAAACAGGTTCTGGTTGCCTTCGTTGGAGACCACGAAGTACAGGCGGACCCGGGAGGAGGCCAGGCCATCTGCGGAGAGGGGGAGAGCGGGCCAAGTGAGTTCAGGGAGAACACGAGGCAGTGGGGGAAACGGACTCCCCGCTGCAGGATGCTGGAACACATACCCGCCACACAGCTGGAAAACGTTACTGACCCGAAATAGGGTTTCTGGGGCCGGGGCCTCTGACTGTCACCTGGGAGAGGCGGAGAAACTCACTTCCCATTGAGAAACCCAGACCAGGTTGGCGCTGGAGGGTCTGGGCCTATAAAATCCTGCCTCACCTCTCCCAGGCCAGGGCTCCCTGGAGACAGCCTGTCAGGCCTCAAAGCTCAACAGAAGAGCTTGTCAGGAGGCCAAGTTCTTAACAAGTTGTTATGGGTATCTGTGAAATCTGAAAAACAAAACCGGGATCGCAGGGAGGATTTGGGGGTGGGTCGTTTCAGTAGGGCATTTTTTTTTTTTTTTGGTTAACTCAGGGCATTGCAAAATCGAGCTAAGCCACCTACTGCCTCTTGCCAGTGTTTACCTAAGCATGATCTGATCCAACCCCTGGTGGAACCTCCACTGCAAACAAGCTCTGCTCAGGTTTCTGACATAGGAACGTGTGCTTTGCAGGCTGCAAAGTGCAGCCCTTGTTGCCGAGGAGTTCCGAGGGACAGGACATGCAGCCTTGAAACTTAAGGTCCGGTCATTTGACAGGGCTCTGGCTTCTCATGAATGACACGTTCAAAATCTCTAAGGGAAAGGGGGGCTGGCTTGTTCATTTTCCCAATAATTCGACCAACCAAGAGATGACTCCCCTCACATCCTACATTTCAGTGACCCTTCCCCTCTGGCAATCTCTAGTTTTTTCTTTTTGGCCTCCCCCCCCCCCCCCCC